GAAGAAATATATGTTTATTTGTCCGTTCTTCTCTCATGGAGTTTAACACGACTAATGAAATTCTTTCCTCCCAAATGTTGATGCATTTGTTTTGGATCTGAATGAATGACCTAACCAGAGACGTTTCAGAGCACCTCTATGACTGCATATTTCAACACCAAGGACATAGTTCACACTCCGACAGAACTAAGACTAAATATGCCCAGATTTTTGGCTTTTTGACCGCAATTTACGCCTTCCTGAAATAAATTTAAGACTTTGTATTGTGTTTGCTCTTCTCCTACTCCAATAATGTTGCCCATTTTTTGGTTAACTGAATGGGGCTAGTTGTTGTAAAATTGAAAGAATCCAAAGACATTTTGCTAGGAGACTGATAAGTGCAACGCACTTAAGTACTGCCTAAGCAAATAGATGACCGCTAGTTAACGTAAAATTTACATGGATTCGGCGATCAAAAGCTGGCTTCTGTGTCCTTTTTGCGCTAACAACAGTCTATATGCTCTTTGGACTTCAGCCGTTACGCCTGTTATTGGCTTGTACGACAGCCGAAGTTCTTCATTTACTATACCACTTGCCGCCTCCTCCATCTCTAAACGGTCGCTCTTTTCTGCTTCACGGCACATTTTTCTTCGGAATGACCTTTCAATCGATATTAGACCGCCAAATACTTAATTTTCATTTAGAAAACTAAGTGTTTATGTTAACACTGACCCGATCAGCCTTATATGTTCCTCACCAATGACTTTCGAAAAAGACAGTTTTGTCCTAATGGCGACGTCGCCCAATTACGTTATCCGTGTAACGCCTAACGAAGTGACCATGATTGTTCGGGTGTGGCGAGCGCTTTAGATGCGAATCCAGGGATAAGGATGGTGTGATCGCGTGTCTGCGAAAATAGCCGGCGCCCTGTCCCAACATAACCGCCGACCCACCTACCAGTAATGCTTACCCATTTCTTTATCGCCTCCTTCCACGCCCCACGCCAGCAGTTCGCTCCAGCACCGTGGATGCAATCACTTGTTCAACGGAGATTCTGCGCCACCTGCGCACCCAGACGGATCATTCCCTCGTTATAACTCATGTTCATATGTAACTATTGAATGCTTTGTTCGTAGATCACCATTTTTTTGAAAATATCCGATTAGGAAATTACGGATATTACTATAAAACTGTCGTGTGCGAAAGTAAAACACGCCGGCAGATGTGAAAGTGTTCGTTTAATTTAAACGGTGCAATCTCCAAATTCTAATTAATATCGGGTCGCTTACACAGAGCATAAACCATTGAACTGTCTGTTCCATACAAATTGACGCAGAATAAAAGTGAAAAATTAATCATTATAGATGTTACAGTATCAGTATCAGTTTATTAAGGGAAATATAGGCAAGCGCCTTTGAATTCCCTCTTGGTTACAAGTCGTTGGAGAAAAACATTGATAAATGGGAAGGTGAAAAAGGGATTTCGTACATACTCGCGGACAGCTGCCAGCTAACCGAAAAAGAGTAATCTTTAATGGTTACTTGCTAATTACAAGTAGTATAAACACGTACAAATGGTACCGGGTTATGTGAGTGGATGTGGGGGTGGTAATTGGGAAGCTTGATGCAGGTCAAGTCTACACTTGAAGGAGTTCACACAGGAGGAGGTTACAACATCGGTAGGTAGGGCATTCCAGGCTGCAACCACTCTGTTACTGAAAAAGGACTTTCGTCCATTGGTTCTTGATTTCCCTGCAAGTAGTTTCAGGGGATGACCGCGCAAAGTGGGCGTGTTAGCTTGGGTGAAATAATCAGTGGGATCTAAACAATAGTCTAGGCCGTTGATGATGCGAAATGTTAGTATAAGGTCACCACGTAATTGCCTGTAGGAAAGGGGAAACAGTTTGA